AGGGTGAGAGGGAAGCGGGGAGCGGGGGCGAGGGGAGAGCGGCCGCGGCCGTGTCGCTGGAGGCCGGCTGTGGGAGAGGTGGAAGGCTTTAATGGTGGTCGGAGGGAGAATCGACTGTAGGTGAAAGACCTGAGGGAAAGACCCCTTGGAAAGCGAGGGGAATGCCTGGAGAGGAGGTACAAAGGGAGTAAATCAGAGACAAAAGCAGAGAATACATTGTTGATGTATGGTGTCCAAAGCTTTTATAGGCCGGTTAAGAGATTTAGAGTCAAGGGACTGTTATTTAAAGCATCTCGGGCTGCTTTACTTAGAAATATCTCTGACTTCCAGCGCGAGTACGGTTTGCCTGATGCAAAGTGTCCCAGGTCTGGCTTACCAGCTCCATCCGGCTCAGCGCCTCTACCAATAAATTCCTAACACTGGCTTAAATGGAGTCGGGCCCCTCTCTTACGGCATTTTGAACAGCTTCAGGCTGGCGTCCATGCACAAAAAAAGCTGCCTGCTGTTTTTGGCAGGTATACGGAGCGTATTGTAGCATCAGATGCGAGACTCACTTGTACGCTGTGGTTGCTCTTCATCAGGCTGCGGCCAGCAAAAGCTGGCTGGCGTTGGAAGCTGCCACACAGCTACACTGATCAGAGGAGACACGCAGGGTGGTCCTGGGACGATGAGACTGATGCAGGGCCTAGGGAAAAAACAACAGTGTTGTCCTTAACCCATCTTATTATACAATAATCGTTAAGCCTATAAGCAAAGCCTCAATGGAAATTAATCTGTATGTACTGAGTACATAAATTGGCGTGTGGTTTGTAGCCACAATAAGTCATATCAGGGCCGGTCTTATTCAAGCAATTTTGGGGAGGGTGGCCTGTTCAAAAAACCTTGTTTTAGCCAGCACTTCAATTCCCTGGGCACAAAATTAAAAAAAAAAGAAAATAAGAATCCAGTCTCTGAGACTTTTATGGAAGAGTTGGCAAAAGGGGTTCACTTGGCTGCTGGGAGAAGAATTGGGTGGATTTGAGTCCTCGGAGGTGAAGAAGCATGTGAAAGGAAATAGGCTCGTCTATAGGTTCTTCTAGGTCCATATATAGGATATACTTTGTCAGAAGGGTGGATCCTCTGTTTTCTACTGCGCAGGAAACAAATCTAAATTAAAAGAAAGCTGCCTCTGAGGGGATTTGTTACCTGCCAGACCGAGGGAGGATGCCACTGCCAGAGACAGTCCTCACAGCTGGACTGCTCTGGTTTGGTGTGGATATTCAGAGAGGTTGAAACAAACGGCCTACGCTTATTTCTGTGGGACTTAGGCCTGCAAAAGGCTGTTTCTTCCTCAAAGCTAGAATATTTCAGCACAGGGCAGTTAATTGTCCTGTCACAGCAGGATAGGGTCTTGGCTTAAAAAAAAATACGGGATAGAATTTTGGCCACGGATAAAAAAGTCAAAAATGTATACAGGTTTCTTTGTGTACGCATGTGAAGATACGTGCATTGATAGGTGTAAGAGTGACGTGAATCGTAAGGGTAACTGTTGACCTGAACTTGCCAAACTTTCACCCACGCCGTGCGGCTGGGAGTAAGAAATTAAGCGGAGTTGACTCCTTTCTCTTGTGCGTGAAGAAACATCTCATGATGGTGTCCTGTCTCTGGGGTAGGGACAGATGTTTTCGTTCGCGTACCACCACGAGGCAGCCAGCAAAGTGAGCTGTGTGAGCCAGGGGAAAGTCATTTGGAAGAGAAAATGACCGTTTGTTGGATGCTGCTGGTGGCATTGCGTTTGCCCCCAGCGCGTCGTTATGGTCCTGAGGCTGTTCACTGAACAAGAAGAAGGGAGTAGTCTGGAAAGAGCTGAAGCCGCTCTGGGTTTCGCTGGAGACAGCGAGAGCTGCCCAGCCTGAAGGGCATGCTCAGCCTTCTGCAAACACGCTGGCCGCAACAACGCGTAACCAGCTCACACCTTCGCGCCCGGCGTTGCGCGCAGGACGGAGCCGTGGCCCTGCAGTCTCTGCCTCCCGTGTCTGCCCCTGTTTCTGGGGGGAAATAACCTCTGCTGGGCCATGGGCTGCGAGCGAAGGCTGGCAGTGCTGTCCCTGGTGCCGGGGGGGGCGCCCGGTTCACCGCCCGTGGTGCTGGGCCAGCGTTCGCAGAGGAGGCACGGCAAAGAGGACTTGCAGGAGGTGCTGACTCAGCAACACGGAGCTGTTCCTTCTCTTTGGTTAATGAATCCGGGCATAAAAGCAGCATGTGGCGAGCTAACCGTGAGAGAAAAGCCTCGTTAACGTATCGTTCTAGAAAGACAATTAGAAAGGTGTTGTGAAGGGCAAACAGGAGGAATGTATTTTCGTTAATTGTTCAGGAAGATGCTTACAAATTGCAGCACCTTCCCCCGTTTTTCTGCCGATGATTTGACCTCTGGAGGTCCTGTATTGAAGTGTACTGTTTTCCCAGGCTGTTTCTTTTTGCGTTAGTTTTTTGGGGAGTCATCTGGTCAGGAAACCGAGCGAGTACAGTTTGGTCTGGGTGATAAATTGTGTTCTGTAAACAAAGAACACTGCAGACATGAGCTATATATATATGCTACCCAGACTGCAAACAATTCACAGTGAGGTTATGGATAATTAATAACCAATTATTCGGGTGCTACATGTTTCTGCCTATGCGAGTGTTGCAAGCGCACAGGCAGCAGTGCTGCCTGCTGAGAGTGGATCTGTTCACGCTGGAGGAACTTCCTACCCACAGCAGAAACCAGATGCGCCGCGATGGGGCCCTCCGTTAGAGATTTCATCCTGAAAGGGGTTTAACATGCCCAAATCCTACTAACATCCAAGAGGGCTGTGTTTTGTTTTAATATCATAGAATCATAGAATCATTAAGACCTCTAAGATCATCAAGTCCAACCGTCACCCCAACACCACCATGCCTGCTAAACCATGTCCTGAAGTGCCACATCCACATGGTTTTTGAACCCTTCCAGGGATGGGGACTCCACCACTGCCCTGGGCAGCCTGTTCCAATGCCTGACCACTCTTTCAGAAAAGAAATTTTTCCTAATGTCCAATCTAAACCTCCCCTGAGGCCATTGCTTCTTGTCCTATCACTAATTACCTGGGAGAAGAGACCAACACCCACCTCACTACACCCTCCTGTCAGGCAGCTGTAGAGAGCGATGTCCCCTCAGCCTCTGCCCCAGACAAACCATCCACAGTTCCCTCAGCTGCTCCTCATCAGACTTGTTCTCCAGACCTCTCACTAGCCTCGATGCCCTTCTCTTGATGCGCTCGAGCACCTCAATGTCCTTCTTGTAGCAAGGGGCCCAAAACTGATGGCCCGATCCTGTCAATTGCTGTAACACGTTGTATTTATTTTGTTGCTAAATTGTCGCTGCTCCGCTCATGGGAACGTCTCCGCGGCGGGCGAGTCAATGACATATGGGGAATATCTTCACCGTGCAGCCATGGGCTCTTGGTGCATCCCCCGCTGTCCCGGGGCTGCCTGCGAAACGCTTTTTGGTGTAAAAGCACGAAGGAACCATCATCCCCTACCAAGGAACCTTCATCCCTTATGAAGGAACCATCATCCCCTACCAAGGAACCTTCATCCCTTATGAAGGAACCATCATCCCCTACCAAGGAACCATCATCCCCTACCAAGGAACCATCATCCCCTACCAAGGAACCGTCATCTCCTACCAAGGAACCATCATCCCCTACCAAGGAACCTTCATCCCTTATGAAGGAACCATCATCCCCTACCAAGGAACTGTCATCCCCTAGGAAGGAACCTTCATCCCCTACCCAGGAACCATCATCCCCTAGGAAGGAGCCTTCATCCCCTAGGAAGGAGCCTTCATCCCCTAACGGGGGGAGGAGGAGGGCGCGATCTCC